TCAATGTCGACTTGTCGTCGACTGAATTATGCAAAGCGCGCGACAATCTCGATAATTGTTGTGGATAGTGTGCGGGGGTGGCAGGGCAGTGGGTGGTGGAGGGAGGTAGACTGAACGGGGGGGTAGGTGCTACTTGGAGTGACATGACATATGGCATGGCATACAAAACAATTACTCACACTCGATTTCCTATTTAGAGTCTGTTAAATATAAAGTTCTTTTGTGTAAAACGTGGCCCGCATGCAATCAAGAAAATATACATAAATACAGAGAGATTATCTGAAAATGCGAACAAAAGGCGCATAATAAACTGCTCAACTACTTTTGATTTCAGTCAAGTCAGCATTGGCCACAGGCCAACGATTACAGCACCAGCAGCAGCTGTAGCAGCCGAAGCAATCACAACAACAACAACAAAAACAACGACAACAACAACAACAGCTTTGGCAACAGAAGAAGGCTAACGATTTCGCAAGCTGATAAAAACCAGTTTTGAGTAACGAGTCGCATTTGCCTCTGTTGCTGTTGTTATTATTATTGTTGTTGTTGTTGTTGTTGCTCTTTCTGGCTGCTGATAACAGCGATTGCCCATTGTTGTTGTTGTTGTTGTTGTTGTTGTTGTCCTTGTTGTTTTTGCTTCGCTTTGATTTAATACGCACTTATCTATTTATTGATTGGATGCAACTGCCGAAGGTCACTGCGATTGCAGACACCTCAATAAATTAGCATTTGCCGCTGGCCAACGACCGCATTATGTATCCATATAAATGTTAAGAGACGTCAACATACATATATATATATTTCTGCCTATTATATACATTTATGGATGGTCTGGCCGGTTGGCCCCTTGTTTATATAGAGTAACACGAATTTTGTAATCACTTATTGTCAATATTTGCTCAATACTTATATTCATTAAAGGCCCGTGAAATTGGCAAGCTTGATAAGAGGCTTGCCTATGTTGCCATAGATAAACTCGAATGGGCATAATCTAATCAGTTATAGGAAAGTATGTAAAGCTCAATGAGTTTATAGACTCATTAAGTTGCAATTCAATATATGACTACAGCTTTAGAGAGATTGTGGCGAGCGAACAGCTGAAATCTGTTTTGCATTTTAATTAAATGAAGTGAAGTGTGGACATGAGTTATTATTTATATACATATACATACATTTATATATATTATTTGAAAATATTTTTAATTTATATATATATAATTTTTATTTTTTTATTTTTATTTTTAATGATTAAAGAATATATTAAAAATGTTGATGAATATATCACTTACACTTTCAACGTTCAAGCAGTTTGTGCATATTCCGTTAATAATGTTAAATTATGGTCAGTTCGAGTAACTTGAATGAATATATAGTTATTCTTATTAACGAAATGAAGGAGCATAAATATATATCAGAGTAGAGCTCTTCGTCCGACTGTCCAGTGCCTAATAAATAAACAAAACAGTTCTTACACTGAACAACAAAATTGCAACTGTTGCCTGATGCGATTCCCACAATTATTTTTCTGTTATAACACATTTTTAAGTTAGCATGAATCAAATTTAAAAATATATTATAAATTATATGCACCATATATGGTATTTATACAGAGTGTACCAATGATGTTATTGTACGGTATATAGTAGGAAACTAACCAAAGTTTAGATACAGTTTTCTTATCTTATTTATTTGTCTTAATTTACAAAAAGAATTAGGTCAATATGTTGCTTACTTTAGGAGATATAACTAAATGATTATAAAAGACCCGTTTTGGGTAGTTTATATTTATTCAAAGAGATTTTATGACTTACTGCAAAATAAATAAAAATGCTTTTCAATTATTAAATCTCTACCTACTCCCACTCTCCCTCTCCCTCTTATTTCTCCCCCTCGTTATCTCACTTGAATACCTCAAACTTTCCAAATATAATTAAATTTTAATCATTTTTCCTTTGCAGGTGAATTTTCATCCCAATTATTGAGCCGCAACAATGGCTAATTGGAAATTTAGCCTCATCACGCTGTTGGCGCTTAGCGGGCTCAGCTGCCTGGCCAGCGCCTATCGAGTGGGCGTGGGACGCGCGGACATCACCGGACCGCCGGTGGAAATTAATTTCGTAAGTTTGTGACAGGCATTTGACACGCCGTTGAGCTTAAGTGAATTACCTGCCCAATCCCCGCCACAGATGGGCTATGCGAACATCAAGCAGGTTGGACGGGGCCTGCACACACGCACCTTTGCCCGCGCCTTCGTCGTGGAGGATGAGAAGGGGAATCGCGTGGCCTTCGTCAGCGCCGACTGCGGCATGATGGGCTACGGGCTCAAGCGGGAGGTGGTGAAGCGGCTGCAGGCGCGCTACGGCAACATTTACACCATCGAGAACGTGGCCATCAGTGGCACCCACACGCACGGTGCGCCGGGCGGCTTCCTGATGCACTTGCTCTACGACATTTCCATTCTGGGCTTCGTGCCACAGACCTTTGAGGCGATGGCCCAGGGGCTCTACCTGGTGAGAGGCTAACTCAAAGATTAATAATGATTGATAGCTAATAGCCGAATTAATCCCGTTCAGTGCATCAAGCGCGCCACGGACAATCTGGTGGATGGCCGCATCTACTTCTCCAAGACCATTGTGCTCAACGCGAACATCAACCGATCGCCGACATCGTATCTGCGCAATCCGGCGGAGGAGCGCGCCCAGTACGAGCACGACACGGACAAGACGATGGCGCAGCTGCGCTTCGTGGACAAGGACAACAATCTGCTGGGCGCCTTCAACTGGTATGCCGTGCACGCCACCTCGATGAACAACACCAACAAGCTGGTGACCAGCGACAACATGGGCTACGCGGCGCTGCTGCTGGAGAAGGAGTACAATCCCAATAAGATGCCCGGCAAGGGCAAGTTTGTGGGCGCCTTCTGCTCCTCGAACCTGGGCGATGTCTCGCCCAACATCATGGGACCGAAGTGCTCCCTGTCGGGCAACGAGTGCGACATACTCACCTCGCACTGTCCCAAGGGCGAGGGCGAGTGCTTCGCCTCCGGCCCAGGGCGCGACATGTTTGAGAGCACACAGATCATTGGCCAACGGCTGGCCGAGGGCGCGCTGAGCCTGCTGAACGAGCAGAGCCAGGAGTCGACCGCACGTGAGGTCACCGGAGATGTGCGCTTCATCCATCAGTTTGTCGATATGCCCAACTACAATGGCAGCACGTACAATCCGCTCACACGCAAGCTGGACAAGATCAGGGGCTGCCAGCCGGCTATGGGCTACAGCTTTGCGGCCGGCACCACTGATGGCCCAGGAGCCTTCAGCTTTGAGCAGGGCACCACCACCGACAACCCCATGTGGAACTTTGTGCGCGACTTCATAGTGCCGCCCACCCAGGAGGATATCAAGTGCCATGAGCCAAAGCCCATTCTCCTGGCAACGGGTCGAGTGAGTGCCTGAAGTGATAAAAGCGAATAGTAAAGGTGTTCATAGCTATATTCCCCTCTTAGGCAACCTTCCCGTACGAGTGGCAGCCCAAAATCGTATCCAATCAGATCCTAAAGATCGGCGATGTCATCATTGCCGCCGTTCCATGCGAGTTCACAACGATGGCCGGGCGGCGCTTGCGGAACCAGATTAGAGCCGCCGCCTCGGCTGCCGGTGGCATCGATACGGAGGTCATCATTGCCGGCCTGACCAACATCTACTCCAGCTACACTGTCACGCCCGAGGAGTACCAGGCGCAGCGCTATGAGGCCGCCTCCACAATATTTGGCCCGCATACGCACACTATTTACATGGACGTCTTCGAGCGCCTGACCAAGGCGATGATGCACAACCAGAGTGTGGACGCTGGACCCAGTCCGCCCTATATGAACGATGTGATGCTCTCCTTGAATACCGGCGTGCTGTTCGACGGTCATCCCATTGGCACCGACTTTGGCTATGTGAAGACCCAGCCCCATAAGCAATACGGCATCAATGACACCGTCAGAGTCACCTTTATTTCGGGCAATCCGCGCAATAATCTCTTCACGGAGAAGACATACTTTTCGGTGGAGCGTAAGATCAACGAGGATCGTTGGAAGATCACCTACACGGATGCCAGCTGGGAGACAAAGTGAGCATTCTTCTAACCCACTTGATGACATTGAGTCTAACTGTTTCTTTGCAGAATGGTCTGGCATCGCACGAACACGATTCTCGGCTTCAGTGAGCTGGAGATCATTTGGAACATCAGTCCCCAGACCCTGCCGGGCGAATATCGCATACGGCACACTGGAGAATACAAGTATATACTAGGTGGGAAATACCCCTACGAGGGTCTGACGCATTCCTTTACTGTCACCGAGGATTAATTGTCCCCAGTTGATCAGTCCAAACTAATCAGTGTATTTATTTACCACGCATAAATGATGATGAAAAGCTTTATATTCTAAACACTAATCAATTGAATGCCAAATTTTTTAGAACTTAAATAAAATGAATACGAAAAAGGAATCTTGAACAGTGGAAATATATATGGGCAGAGGTTATGAAGTATAGTTTATATCTAGACATTTTTCCTGTTCATGCATTTGAATTCACTGAAGTCGCGCGCCCACATAAAAACATCCCACAAACAGCTGTTTCGATGAGATCCACACTTGCGCACAGTTCACTGGAACTTGTTTTAGCTGTGCGTGGATCGTATCTCACTACGAAGAGCAACTCAAAACAAACGCGACAAAATGAGCTGTTGCTCTCCCTTTCGCTCTCCTGCTCATTGGCTCTTTCCTATGGAATGTATCCACATGCGGCTATAGCGGCAATAATATCGCTTTTAGTTCCATTTTGTGGTGCTGAGCGCGCGGTCGCATTGTCGATAAGGTCCACACACAGCAGCCAGAATCGAATAGAAAACAAAGGCAAAAACAAATATATAAATCAGGACTGGCTAAAAAAATACATACTAATATCAAACATATGTGTGTCCGTTAGCTTGTGTGTGCGCGTGTATTCTTTTTAGTTGCTAATTACAACAAATTGTAAAAGGAAGTTGTTAAGTGTGAAGAGAATTCTTGAGTTCCATTCAACTGCAGTTTGTGTGTGCGTGAAAGAGCCCCGATTAGCTGTAAACAAACGGCTAAAAGACAACGCTAAGAATAACAGAGAAAAGAACGAGTGAATCGACGCCTACGCGTTCTGATACTTACGCCGTGCAACAGCGGCTGTTGGCCCAGCGTTTAGGGGCAACAAGTTTTCCAGGAAATCAGAGTTCATAGACAGGGTAAGTGCGCCTGGGCGGGTGTATGGCCCCTCGACCGGGAAAGGGGCTGACGTGTTCGATTGAAGATCGTCTTGTCGGCATCCAGTTTCCGCCCTGCACTGATAAGCCTTTTGTCACCATTCCTCTCGCCTCTCACTCCACAAAATGTGGGTCAACTCGAAATTGAATATAGTAATTTTTTTGATTAGAAAGAAATTTCCAGAGAGACGCATAGACCTACGTCATAACAGAGAAACATATGAGTTCCTCATGTCCAAAGCTATTCTGTTATTTTATATGTATGTGCATTTAAATACTGTCGCCTAGTTGCGCTATCTCCGCTTCTATCGTTGCCCACATGTGTGGGGACGCAATTGAAATAATGCCGCTGCCGCTGCCGCTGCTGCTGTCGCTGTCGCTGCCACTGTTGTTGCCGCTGCCGCTGACCGCCACACGCGTCAAATGCTCCCAGTTATGCGATAAGTAAAGAATCTCGAATCGACAATTTGTGTGTGGGCTGCTGCGGGGCAAACGGCATCGCGGAGGCAATTGAAGGCAGCAGCCCAGTCACGTAGTCAATTGCCTGCGTTTGTTTTGATATGTTTCCATCTTCTTGTTGCTTTGCGCCGCTCTTCGGTTGTGTTTATGTTCCGTGTTCATTGGAAATCAACCCCTAAATGAGAGCAGGCTGGAATTGGAACCAGAACTGGAGCAGCTCATTGCAACTGTTGCCGCGTTGCCAACTATTTGAAAGATGTGAATAAGAATTTCAAGCGAGGCGCTGATTTTCCAATTGGAATAACACCGACTACATTCTCAATGAAATTAAAAATTTATTTTCTAAAATTCATATAAATACTTAAAATTGATTTGAAAAGAAATTTAATGATTTCAACTAAATTAAGTAATAATTGAATTTAGCTCAGAATGCCACGCATCACATAATTTAAAGTTCACGCTCCTTTCGCGAATATGAATCCAATTAGAATCTGCTCATGTTATTAGCGTCTCTTTAGAATATCTAACTCTTGTTTATTATACTTGTATACACGCATATATTCCGTTTTATGAATATAGCGTCAAGCGTCAATTAATCGACGATTTGCTAAAATTTATGAATTTTATTAATCAAGATTCTGGTTTAATGTACCCAGGCGACGTAGAATTGACGTACAATGCGTATAAGCTGCTTTAGCTGCGGCTCAGCCGTAATGGTTTCAGTTAGTATATCCAATTTGCACGCATCGAATCCCCCACCAGTTAAGTAGGGAACATGTCATAAGACGTGGGCGCACAGCATTTGAATTGCAAACAAATTGTTAAATACTTGAGCCGACAATTGTTGTTATTCGTTTATTTTGATTATTATTTTTGTTTATTTTTTCATTTTGGGCGCACTCCAATGTCGAGTTCATCTCTTGACAAGAGGAAAACGAAAGCAGCTCAAAGGCCAACAGCGGGCACCAAATGAAATGAAATCAAATCAAACGAAATGAAAGCAAATGAAATGAAAGTGCTGCCCTGATTGTTGCCCCACTCTGCGGCAGGTGCCCCACTCCAGCTCGTGGCCAGCAATAGCCACTTCCTTGCAACTATGTCCCCACTTGCACTTCCACTTCCATTTTCAATTCCCACTTCGGCTTCGTCACGAGTTTGTTGTGCAATTAGCTTTAACTTTTGCCAAAGCTGGCAGCTGCATTTGCTAGCATTTTTTTATCTTGCGCATCTCTTTATACTCTGCACGCATTAAGAGTGCCAAAAGGGGCGTGATCGACTGGCATGATCTGTGGATGTGACAGACTAAAACAGGTCTCAAGCAGACAGACGCACAAAGCTAAATCGGCCATCGTCGTCCTGATCAAGGATATATGCACCTTATGAGGCCTGCCACGCCTCCTTCTGTTAGTAACGTATATTTAATATAGCCATTTTAGCCTTTTTCAATGACTTTAGGATAGAAATAGCTGCTAAATGAAATGTCTATATAGTTGTAATCTCTTGTATATTTTATATTTATAGTTTATATATGAGAACTATTTGGCCTATGCTCTGCCAGCCTAGAGACTAGATTGCATATAAATAGAAAGAAATGCATAAGTGCATACATGAGTGAATTGTAGGCTGAGCGTGAAGACTAAAGAGAAAACCCTCGATTAACAATTGTGTTCAAGAAAATATATAACATAAAGCAGATGAAAATTTAATTTTTCCTTGCAGAATAGAATACAAAGCAAAAAATTGCGAACAAATTAAATATGTATATGCCGGATAGAGTTCATTTTTAATAATTTTGTAGGGATGAATTAAAAATTGACCCTTCATAGAAAAAGTAAAAATAAGAAAATTTATTAAAAAAGAAAAAAAAAAAATAATAATAATAATTACTGAATAAAATTAGAAAGAAATTTGAAACCGATTTGTGGGGCAAAGGAAATCATTATAAATTTGACTATAAGTTAATTTATATATAAATAGAGGGTATCTGCTAGTCATCCATGCTTGTGAGCACATCTCTTGTTTTATGCTCTTAGGTAGCTATGTTAACCGGTTTAGATGCGACTGTCAAGCGGGTATTTACGGGGCTTATGCTTAGAGAGCTCAAGGTGAATCGGCTGGCTATATGTAAAGCGTATGCGCTGAGCATATTCAATTCAACAATTTGTCATTTGTAATGAGCAAACTTGTTGGATGCACTTGAAACGGCTGGGCATTAGCAGCCGGATCTGGCCAGAAAATGTGAAATTATGAATACATATTTAATGTTGCTCACAAGAGTTTTTCCGCATTGAGTTGGGCTCAAGTTCATGACAGCGCCTGTCGCATTTACGCCAATTAAATTAAAAGTTTTGTCACTCGCCAACATTTGCGATAAATGTTCAAGTGTTATATACATATAGATATACACTCGTATATAGTAGACAAATGTATCTGTATCTGTTGTTCATTCGAACTTTTTCAAGTGACAGTTAAATTGGCTCGTCTCGCAGGGCAGTCAAATGTGCTTCGTAGGCAAAATTACCGAAATGTCTGTCAATTTGATTTTAATTATGCACACGAATTGGCCAAAAGGCGCAGCCAATTGGAGCTGGCAATGGGGCAGCTCGAGTTACAGTCAGCTGCGCTTCCATTTCACATAAGGTCAGATGCTGTTTGCCCATTAAATGCCAGCACATCTCTGTATCTGTGTATCTGTGTGTGAACGACAAAGACTTGCCACAAATGTCAACGGCGCCAACTCTTGGCTACCAAAATTGAGCACCACATAAATGTCAGCTACTGAGTTATGACTTTGGCAGCCCTAACAACCAGCCAACTGCAACTGGAAACTGGCAATTGGCAACTGGCAACTCTCGACTGCCAACTGGCGGTGGACAATGTGCAACTTGCTTTGTGGCAAGTTGTAACAATAACAACAACAACAACAACAAAAACTGCCATATGGCAATTCCCGTTGCAATGGCGTTCGCCTGACATTTGCACCTGAATAACAATGCCGCAGCTTCGCCTCGCAATATATTTCTCTTGTTTCATTTTGATTTTCCTCTACAACAACATACAGTGCAAGCTGGCCATAAAAGAATAGAGCATTTTAATTCCAACTATTCATATCTCAGCATTGCAGAGCTGAGCGCTTAATACTTTAAACTTTATTTGTGCTACATAAATATTCTGCATAAATTGCTTTAAATACTTCTTGAATAAAATAAAGCATTAGAGTAAATGCTTACTTTTGTTTAAATACATTTTAATAGGTTAGCCAACCGCTTAATATATTTATATTTATATGCAAATATATATGTAATACATTTATTTATATTTATTATATTAATAATAAATCTATAATTCATGCCCAAAACATTTAAGCAAAAATTTACAACATTTTTAAAATATTAATTTTACTTATAATTTATTATTCAATGCAAAATGTTGATTTTGCCTTTACATTTCAACCAATATAAGGTCAAGGGTCACATATTGATAATTTGATCCTTTGACAATCAAAACGACCCTGTCCAAATGCCCTTAAATAGCCATCTCATTCTAACTCTGCAGCAACAGTTACCTTAACCCTCTCTCTTTGTCACTCTCTCTCTCTCTATATATTAGTGAAAATTTGCAAGTCAGAGATTAAAAGTGAGCAACCGAGAAGCAAACTCCCTCGGGTAATATAATAAACCTCCTCAAAAATTCTGTAAAAGCGCCCAGCCGAACACCCATACTGCTGTAACACTGGGAGGGAACAACTATGAATTGGGAAACATAGAATATATACTCATAGACTGTGAGAGGTTATGTTTTATTGGCGTGCAAACATATACATACATATAGATAATAAATATATATAATTAATAATATATAATCAATAATATATCTAATAAATATTGAGCATTTCTGATTTTTAATTTTTAATTTTAAGGATATACTAATTTTTAAGGAAATACCTCAAATGAATGAAGTAATAATATACATTATGAATACATAGGAAATAACTAAAAATCAATATATTAATACAATCAAGTCTTTCAATTTTATCATAACTCTTTTTTATCACATTTAAACACCGTCGATAGAGTTTTCAGCTGGAAATTCTACGGCAATGCAGCTAACCATACTTGCTTACTATTATTTGCAGTTGCAATTCTCTAAAGTAACATACATTAGTTTTACAATGTTTCATAGTTTATGCTGTCTCCTGTGGCAAATAGAATAGAGTCTGTAGCGAGCATCCACTGTACGTATTTTTCAGCTTGTTGACAGTTTCATTTAAATTGGTTGGCAGTACTGGGAATTCAAAGAGTCGGATGAAGGGAGAGCTGACTGCAGCACACACACGGGCAACCACCTGCTGGCTGTTTATGATAAGAGTCAAGTCGTGTGTGTATGTGTTTGTGTTTGTGTGTGTGTGTGGGAGATGTTGCGCGCAGTTAAAGGATGGCACATTAACAAAGCTCGGTTTCTATGGTTACGTCTACGGCTAAGGTTACGTTGTCCCTGTCATCCGCAACGGACACGCAAAGCCCGGCGGCCGAGCTGCAGCAGCTGCAGTTGAGCTGAGAATATTTGCTGCGTTTGAAAAAGTTTTCGAGCCACAGCAAAGAAAATTTAACAAATAATCAGTCAGTCAGTCAGTCAGTCCCTCAGTCAGTCAGTCAGCTAGTGAGCTCTTCAGCTCGTCAGTGGGCCACTCGCTTCATTTAGCTAATGTGCAACGTCAGCGCAAAAAATTGCATTTCATAACTTAATTGCAACAAAAGGCAAAAAACAAAAAAAACAAAAAACCCAAAAAAAAAATTTGCAATTTTTTGTTAGCTGCAAATTCCGAGGCACGAAAGCAGACGCGACTTTTAGCAGAAAATTTGCTAGTTGCTAGTTGCATAAGCAAACGCATTGGCAGCCGAGCGAGAGGTGTATATAATAGCAACACGCAAGCGAATTTCGCTGCTGCAATGTGGCAGCCACCAAAGTGGGCGTGGCATTTGACGCCAACACAAAAAGTGCAATTCGATGTTGCAGAACAAATTGAATAACGGCATTTGCCAGCAGGCAAATTCAGCTCAGTTTACTCTGCTCGCGTTATAATTGTATCGGACACAATCTAATTTCATTTCGTTCACCAGCAAAATAGTTGCAATTCAATTGACAAGTAACTGAATAACTAATTAATTTAATTAAGTTTCATTAATTCAATTGGAAATCCCAAAGAGGACGGCAGAGGACAGAGATAATCGGGCTGGCAGGGCACAGTGGCCTTTTGGTCAATTTAAATAGCAAAAATTTTCAAAATGCAAACGAATTCCTCAAACTTTTGAAATGAAACTATGTATGCATGCACAGGGTGTTCATTTCACAGGGTGTTTACAAATTTGGTGTGGAGTGAAGAGGAATAAAGTGTTTGTGGTGAATTAATTTTTGTGATTAAATAGCATGAAATAAATAATTTGCTTTCTTGTAGTTGAACAAATACCACAGGAAAAACAATTGTTATATAAGGGTATAAAAATATATGTATATATATGCATATATAAATTTATTAATATATACTTGATTTATTTTAACATATCCTCGTTGCTTCGCATCATTTTCTCGCTTTTTATGTACATATTTTTCTCGTTTTATTGATTTAAAAAGCAAACAGATGAGCAATGGTATGGGTGAAAGGGAATGAATTAATTTCAAAAGACATAAAGACCAAATAATCACTGTTTTATACAATATAAATATTACAAAGATTTATTCGGTTTTCTTAAGAAGAAAATAAAGTTAGCTTTTAAATTAAATTGTGAAAGAGCGTTTACTTTATCAACTTTGTTTTTTGGTAGCGTTTTTTGCATCAAAACAAAAGTAACAACTAATTCAAAAACAAAAAAAATAAAAAATAAAAAATAAATAATAAATAAATAAATAAATAAATAAATAAATAAATAAAAAAAATAAAATAAAAAAAAATAAAAAAAAAATAAATAAATAAATAAAAAAAAATATAAATTAAATTATAAAAAAAATTAAATATTTAATTTTGTTTGTTAATTACTTTGAAAGCTTTTATTTACTTACTTCTGCAGCCAAAATACGATTTTTTCTAGGTAAAGGAGACTACGAATATAAATATGAATATGAACAAATAGCAGTACAGATACACGCACGAGAAAAATATACTTTCAACACTTTGGGAGCGTGTATAAAAAAAGAAGACATTTAGAATATATTCAGAAAGCGGCTCACTTTATTGTATTGTTGGGAAGAACTTTAGCATTTGAAACTCGACTAAAGTGAGCTGAACAATAAATTGTTCAATTTGACGCTTCATTTTAAAATATTTATTTATCAATTAAAGCATTTAGCTATTCATATACAACAAATATGCATAGCATAATTTTCATTTTGTCATGCTTACTTTATTTTTGGGCATATTAACATAATTTGAATTTCAAGTATTTTCTGAATGTTTCTTTGGCTTCATTTGCATTTGAGATATAACAAATTCGACTTTTAGCAACTGCAGTGCATTATTTATAAACACATTCTGTTGAGAAGCAGCCAGGCTGGATTGTGAAATTTATTTGTTTTTAATTGTTAATTTATTCAGCTCTGCATTCACATAGAATTTTAATTTAAATTGTCTTAGACGAGTCATTAAAATATTAAACAGCTATGAAATTTTTACTTAAGCGAAACTAGGGGATGTTCCTCATTTGGTGCGCGAATCAAGACGAACTAAAATGA